AGCAATTTGATGAGACGACAGATCACGTTATGTCCGGATGCGCCGTGCTGGCAAAAGAGCAGTATATATAACGACATGATCGTGTCTGTACTCAGTTACATTTTAACATATGCAGGAACGCTGGGGTAAAGCTAGAAGAAAAGCACTGGTATGAACATATCCCGAAGACAGTGGAGACAAGTGAAGATGGCCAAATAACTATTTTGTGGAACCAGCAAATCAGAACAGATAGAACCATCCCAAATAATAAACCTGACATAATAATCAGAAACAAAAACGGAACTTGCCTCTTAATTGACATAGCAGTACCGACTGACAGGAATGTGATTAAGAAGGAAGCAGAGAAGATATTGAAATACAAGGACCTTCTCATAGAAATACAGAGAATGTGGAAGGTTCAAGAAAAAATAATTCCAGTAGTTATAGGGGCAACAGGAACTGTCTCCAGGTCGCTCAGGAAATATTTGGCCAACATCCCGGGCGAACACGACGTCAGGAAACTTCAGAAGACCGCCATTTTGGGAACTTCATACATCATTCGAAAGACGCTGTTGTAAAATAAAATTATATAATATATGTAATACATATTAAAAACAAAATGTATCCCGGAAATAGCTGCTGCCCTATGTACCTTAGGGACAAGGTCTGTCTCGGGTACATAGAAGTACATACCCCATAAAGTAGTGAAGAGATGGGATAATAAAAATAATAATAATAATAAATATAACAATGTTCAAGCAGCAAACAGTCTTATACAGAGACACATGCTACCTGAGTTTTCTACCTAACACCTTTGGATAGACTTACATAAAACCCAGCAGAGAATTCATGTCATTCAAGGGACCCAAATATATTATTTAAATTCTTTACACACATTAACATGGAAAGTCTAGCAAACTGTCAAGTTGCAGCAACCCTATGGCCTCTCAGTTATGATCTTGAAATTTTGTTTAGTTCAGAGAACCTTTAAAAATATATACATTTTAATAGTGATTTGTGGATAACAATAGTGCAACCACATGAACTTGACTTTTTCCCTGATTTTGTAAAAACAATGAGTTGCCAACAAGCAGATGAAATTTGGTGTGAAGATATTACAAAGTTATATGAAATAATTTTATGTTGATATTCACTGACATAAGAACTATGCAAATGTTTTTCATGAAACAAAACCAGCCTCTGCCTTTCAGGTTTCACCTTATCTACATGTTTTCATTCTTACCAAGAACTTGGCCAAAATCATTCCACACTGTGACCCCAGGAGGAACTTGTATTGTGATGTCTGCACCAGGTTCTCCAAGTATCCTGTTCTTATGGCTATTCCCTCCATTTTCTGCAATAAATCTCTTTGTTGGATTTCGGGTAATCAAGGACTTCAGTGTCACACCTTTTAAAGAAGAATATGTTATATTCAACTAACAATATGCAATTCACAGCTCTAATCAAACACTTACAGGAAACAAGCAAGCACAGGTACTCTTCATTACATGCATGTTAACACAATGTAATTTACTTTTAATATGCTCAACTAATTTAGACCAATTTAAATGTATTTATTAAGAGTTTATTTAATAAAGGTTTTTGTAGCTCACACTATATAACACTTAATTAAGGGATAATAGTGAATAATGAATTGGAAAGGATATGGAAGAAATCAGTCCTGGCCTAATTCAAGGTACTATCATGGCATTTTCCTGGAAGGACTGTGGAAAACCATGAAAAACCTTAGTGAAGATAGTCATTATTCTGTTGAAATTTAAACCCAGACCTCCCAAATATGAAGAATAACTTCTAACCATTTGACCACAACAGTCTGTACTAATCTAAAGCAACAACACTCACTTTAATGTGAACTGCCTGCTGGCCAATTGACAGACGCAGAGAACAAGACTTTTTAAAAACATATGTGATTTTTCCCTTTGTAATTTCTTTCTGAAACAATTATTTCATGAATTGAGAAGTTTATTACACATAACCATCAAATTCAACTTTCACATAGTGTTTAAATAATCCAACATGTATCAATGAGTGAAGTCATCTTCCGGGATTTACTTACTTAACATACCCCACATATAACAATATTCTAAGAATTATCAAAAATTCATCTGCATTAAACATCAGATCTAAAATATTAAGATGTCTTTAGCATAACTAAGTAACTAACTAGCTGGCTTAGTGAACCCAAGGTTCATCACCAAATTAACCAAAGCCCTCCACTGGCCTGTCCTGGGCCAACAAAATCCAGTCTCCTTCAAATCCTATCTCCCATAGATCCCGCCTGAGATTATCCTCCCATCTACATCTAGGTCTCGCCAGCGGTCTCTTCCTTTCAGACTTCCGACCAATACCCAGTGCACACCTCCTGCCACATGCCCTGCCCATCTCATTCTTGACTTAATCACCCTGACAATATCAGGGGAGGAGTACAAATCTTTAAACTCATCAATATGCAGTTTTCTCCATACCCCATCCTCTTCTCTCCTAGGTTCAAATATCCTCCTCAACATCCTATTCTCACACACCTGAAATCTATGTTCCTCCCTGAGAGTGATTCCATGTTTCACACCCATACAAAACAATACACAAAATTATTGTTTTGTATATTTTAATCTTTAGGTTCTTAGAAATCAGACAAAATAATTTGAACTGAAAAGTAGCAAGCATTTGCAGAATTTAGTCTCCTCCTAATTTCCTGATGAATATCATTTTAATTTGTTATTGTTGTTCCCAAATATTTGAACTTTGTCACACTTTCAAAGGATTTATTAGCCACCCTAATATCATTTTGCCCACCTGAATGCTGACTGGCTACTAACATGTACTTAATGTTTTCTTAATTTATTTCTAGGCCAACCTTTCTAGTAAAACTTCTGTGTTCCTCTTTATTGTATTTATATTGTGACCCAATAAATTAACATCACCATATGGCAGCAGCTGATCAGAATTAAACTAAAAGAAAAAACACTTTTAAATAGACATACCCACTCACCTTCCTTAGCAACTACAATGACACTTCCTCCTTTTCCACCAATTCCTCCATATTTTGGAAAACCCATGCCACCAGCACCTCCTCGTACATATATGCGCAAAGAATCTATGAACTTCCCACGAGAGCTTCGAACCTGTTTTGGGAAGCACATCAAATTATAATTTTACACAGTTTCTTGTGTTGGCTATCAGTATACAAGAAATTATTCAAGAAGGGTTAGATTTTGCAAGCAATGAAACAATCTCTGTATTTTACATATAAAAACTGGTATTAAATAATTACTACATTGAGTCAAAATTTAACACATTGGTACCAAAAGCTGAAATATGTATTGTGTTATAACATGAAAACCATCAATTCGGTGGTCCACCTTACATGGCCAAACCAATACTGCAATAATAAAGGGAGAGTGCTGAGATAACTGATGTATTATCTACAGGGATAATAGAAGTTACAGAGAGTATCCTACCCTCCTTCCATTTTTCAACATTCGTGTCAGAAAAACCATATTGTATATCAGTTTCACATAACATTCAATTGTTCAATTAGCTGCACACATCAAAACCGTCGAACCTATTTAACATAACCTTCAAAATCATTTTACATATAAGACATCAAGTTAGGATATTTTCATAGCTGACACACAGCATCACAGATTCAACAACACAGCATTTTACACCCTAATCTGACGAATGCAATGTATCATGGTCGACCTAAATCAAATGTCTTCTTCTGTACTTATTCAGCCATTCACCATGGGCACCTATACTATGCCTATTTTGTCATATACCACAGATAATATCCAATGCTCTCCACAACCTTTATTTTTACCAGGGGCACAGATAAATAAACACAACATGCTTGGTTGTGACGAGCAAGGTTCTTGGCAACTCCCGACATCTTTCGCCACTCGCGTGTACTTTGTTGAAAAGGCTCAAACATGCTGCTAATGGATGTCGCAAATGCGTGTTGCCGCGTCCCGATTATATTATATAAATATATAAACACAGTATCTTAATGGTTTGATGAAGCAGGGAATTAGCACCTCTGAGACTGTACGGCATAGAACACTTGTTTCAAATGTAAAAAGTTTCAAAACCGTCTCTGATATTTGACAATATGCGCGTGACGTCATACGCTTCCTTGGTTACCAATATTCCTCCAAAATTCTTACCAAGTACTTGTCTCTTCTTCTGGATGACAGAAGTTGAGTTTGAAAATCAATTTTGAGTTGTCTTTCTGTGATGTATAAACCAGAGGAAAAAAGCATTGTTTCAGCCGGAGAAGATGGTCATAGCTGAACATAATTGCAACTTGAAGGTTCATTACCGTGTTAATATCAGACTGTCACTGCTTTCTTGAATCAGATAGCTGCTTTAATATTATCCAAACAATTATGACTGTCTTCCAAGTAGCCTCTTCCCTTTTGGTTTTCCGGCATTTCTCGTAGGTCCCATGAGTTACTTTTTCGCATATGTTGATTTGATCAACCGGACATTTAATGAAGAGTATAATACTTAACCAATAATTATTTTAACCATGAATGAGTATGATGGAAGATGGCTGTCCTCTGGTTTGTAGTGCAGTGTATTCTGGTAGACTGATAAACGCCTCTTGCTGAACTCCTGGGGCGTCAAAGTTGCGACCATATAACCTTTCGTAAGTCGTGAAATTAGCGTGTTTATTCGAATCAAATACACACACATGAACCATGAAGACTGCAGAATTTTTGATCGCAACCCAGAAGACAAACCCAAAGTTATTCTTCAAGTTGGATTTATGTTAAGAAGGGGGGAAACATTTTTATTTACTTTTGACAGTGTATGATTTGTCAACAAAGCATACCCAGGGATTCTCTAGCAGTTTACAAACTGATGTAATGAATCAGAAAAGTGGTTGACAACGGGACAGATTACCTGGTGTTCATTCTCCCCAGGACCTCCAGTTTGTTTCCTCCATCCTCTCTGAACACGCTTCGAGCCAACCCAGACTCTTGTCTTCCGACGTGCAGTTGCCCACTCTACTCCACTTAAACCGAGATTTAAAAAAATACGAAAGCTGTGTTGTTGCCTGCAGAACTTAAAAAATACGAGGGTGTTTCAAAAAGTAACAGCAAATTAAATATTTTGAGATATATAATTTAATTAGAGATACAAGTGATATGTCATTTTTCTACATAATCACTCTCCTTTTCAATACACTTCTCACACCGTTGCACCAACTTCTTTATTCCATCAGAAAAAAATGTTTTTTGGTTGTGTCTTCAGCCAGGAATGCACCGCTTCTTTGACCTCGTCATCATTCCCAAATCAACGCATCCTTCAGGGGTCCAAACACATGATAATCAGAGGGAGGAAGGTGAGGGCTGTATGGGGGATGCTGTAAGATCTGAAATCTCAATCTCCGAATGGTGTGAGGGCGTGCGTTATCATGGTCATCGTGGATTGATGTTCGCCCATTTTTAAAAGCCAACCACTCGTACACTCTTCTCTCGCCAATGCAGCATTCTTCTATGAATTTCACGAGGTTTCACACCCTCCGACCACAAAAATCTGATGATTGCTCGCTGCTCCTCTACTGTGCAAACAGCTTAGGGCGCCGCCATTTCGTTTATGCATCCCTTCCAATTAATTACGCCACAACATTGATTGGGCAGTGTCAAAACCTTCTCTAAGAATGTATCTTCCCTGTGCGGGAGTTTGAAATGTCTGAGGTATTCGTTTCGTGAAATATTGTCAACTTGCTGTTACTTTTTGAAACGCCCTCGTACATTGCGAACAAGGATTCTAAAACCTGAGATCTGTCAGCATCATGATAAAACCAATTATTTCATCTGAGAATATTCTTGTATGAAATTATCGGCGTCACTCATGGAAGACAATATAAATTGCAGTAGTTTAAACTCAGCTTTTAAAACACTGATTTCAGATGAATATACAAATGTATCAACTGGAATATGCTCAACAACCTCTTCAAGCAATTTGGACATATTCTTCTTTGTTTGTGAACTCAATAATATAAGACGCAATGCATTCAATGATAAAGCTGAATGCAACTGTCACTTTCCGGCTTGAACTGCATGACTCACTGCCAAGCGCTGTAGGTTTTTTGCTATACAACTCAAGTATCGTTCCATACAAACAATAAGATAATCTTGCTTGGCAGATCCTGCCTGGGAGTAACAGTTTAGTTCAACTTTATCAGTGAACACACTGCAGAACAAACTGTGGATCCCTATTTGCTCTGTCAAGAAAAAGAAATACAGATACGCTCAGGATACCTGAAGAATCGAGCGTAGATATTCAAGTAAAGTGTCCTTTACTATACTTTGATTTTAATTAAAACTGCAGTATGTTGCCACATTTTAGCAAACTACATAACATCAAATTTTATGAAAATCCGTTCAGCGTTTTCTTGCAGATAAACGGACAGAGAGACTTGGCAAAGATAATAAGCATATATTCGCAGTTGAGTTGCAAACGCGCAGAAAATACTTGGAAATCACTGTGTTCAAATGCTCGATTAAAATCGAATAGTTTCCTGATATTTCTGGTTTGTTCTTAAATAGCACAGGTAGGTTGCATTAATAGTAATAATTCAGGAAATAAAATTATATTGCTCTTGATATAATACAAATATTATAGCTTCCACTGTTAATAGTTTGAGGAGTATTTGATATACATGGCGGTTTGGGAGTTGGTTCTTTTCCTGTCTTCACTAGAGAGACATAATATACTAACAAGATTTAATTATTTTATTACATTGGTATAATAAATCAACCATTCAGGAAACCATGTGCTTGGTATGGCATTCCAATGTGAAAGTCAAGAGTGTTCACCTCACAGATTAGTTACATGATTTTACAGCGTCATTTGATATCTATGAAATGTAGAAAATGTCCTTTCAATAGTTTTACGTAACATCTGTGAAACCTGGCTTATTAAAACTTTCGGTTTCGTCATATAGTGAAATTTGTAATAATAGTAATGGTTAGAAATGTAAAGGTACTACTCAGCAAAAGAGAAAACAACAATAAATGTTTTCTGTTTTGAGTGACTTACGCGGTTTCACGGATTTTCGGAATTTTAACAAGAGAGCGAACTGCGGAACACAACTGCACAGAACACGTTGCTGTGCGTGTTGTGGTTAAGTAAAAATACACGACAAGTATATTTGGCTGTGGCTTTCAGTTGATGTAACTAATCATCCGGTAAGTTATGAAAATTTCATGCATTTTAGGAACAGGAGAAAAATTCATTCTCACATAACTCCAAACTCTTAGATAACAAATCACTCTGGGCCTCGTTTATATATAACTTCCTTCTAAGGATGTGCTGGTGTTAGTTGGTGAACCTGTTTCTCTTGCAAAGGACGCAAAAGATGGCTTCTCTTGTCCAGGTACGTCACAGTCTGTGGGAACTCAGAAAACATATACTTTCAGCATGAATTATACCACATTGTTATATTGTAGAAAGTATGTGGGGAAAGAACAAACGATTTCAAAATTATGGCTGAAAAACCTAACCTATAAGAAAGAAACTGTTTACATGAGCTACGCGTAGATGAAAGAATACAACTACTACGCCCTTGCATCGCAGAAATGATTGTGTGAAGTGCACTGGACTAGCTGATGTTGATGATATGGTGGGCGTCTGTGAACGTAGTGATGGGATTCTGGAATTCATAATGATAGTGAATTCCTTGACTACCTGAATAATTACGGATTTCTTATGGAAAACTAGATTGCTAATAAGACAGTTTCTCGTTCTCAGTTCCTCCAAATCACAGACCTGGTCCATTAAATTTTAAATTGAATCCCGCCTTCGGCTGTACTAAACCTAAAGAAACAGACAAGGTCGAGTGTAAACAAATTGATTGCACATATGAAATTTGGTTTCTAGAACTATACACACTGAGTCTGCGTATACAAGTTTTGTTGCTATATGAAAGTAAGTTATTGCGTGAATGCCTTTCATTAGTCTGAAAGTTTCCTGTACTTTTTGTACATTCTGAAAGGGTAAGTTGAGAGAGGGTAAAGCAAAAGACTAACAATTTGATTTTTAAGTACTAAAACTGCAGTTGCTTTGTTTATGAATCTGCGTACTTAAATTGGTTTTAAACGCAGTATTCGATTTACGAACAAGTTATGATCTTCGATAGGAAAGAATCAGGCGGTCAGAATAAAATTTAGAATTGTTTGGTACGGAGCAATCTTCCCGCATGTTTTACCTCTTTTCTCCATTGAATGTGACAACCGGTTACTTATGACGAATTTGTAAGGACCATTTCTTAAAGTCATAACGATTCACTGGATCAGTTCCTCAAATGCAAATGTGAAATGTATTTTTGTGAAGTGAATATCAGTGTCCCAAATTCAATTAGGTGTTTGTAGTGACCGTCTATCGAGTCATGGTGATATCCGACGCAGGGCTTTCAAAAGTCAGAGTAATAAAAAATAATACACTACTAACAATATTTAATGCAATGATCTAACTAACTTGATGAACAGATTTCTTCCTAAGAGGCTAGCAGTGACCCAGATTCTTAAGAAATTCCCTGTCTTTTACAGAGTTGAAAAATTCACTTGCGTGACCCCAAGAGCTGGACCGCACAAATATAATTCACATCCTCAAACTCTGGTTCTTTAATATTCATGTTAACGCTATTTTTCAATCTATTCTTCGCCTTCAAAATTGTGTCACCACAAGGCTTTGTATAATTAATGCAAAACTTACCAGAATCGCGTGAATACAGACAGAGGCCCGAGAAGAAAAGAGGCTGAAATTAGACGGGGACTTCGCATCGCACTACTAAAAGCCATAGCTGCTGTGCGTCAAACCAGTAACCGCTACACAACAGCCCTCCGATTGAAGTGAAGGGAAAAGAACGCCTCTGCTTAAATGTCACTGGTTACACGCGATTATAGACAAGCGTATGTAGCCAGATTCACGGTTCGGTTATCTTTACCGTCTTTTCCGGGCATCTGTTAGCACAGAATGAGGCTGGACGTGATGACAAGCGACAAATCCCAATTAAGACAGCCCGACAGCTCAAATCGTATCTCGCCACTGGTTCCTTCCATCTAGACCAATGTGGCCAAACTGGCGGCCAGCGGGCCACAAACGGCTCGAGACCACATGTAGCCAGGCACGCGAATTTTTTTGTTAATTTGTTACTAGTTACTTCAATCTCGTTTAATTTCTTTTGTCCGACGGATTTATAAAAAAAATGTTTTTCTCGTCTGCTGCTTTGCGTACGTGCAAGTGCCACACGTGCTACTAATTTTAAAACCCTACCGTAAAATGTAGGTTTTCCAGGTAACGTTTGTGTTAGATACAAGCTATTAAAGAAGAAATTTTAAATTTAAAATAACATGTGTTCTGACTCCACCGTAATGTGTGCACATTTCAATAAATTGTATATTTGAGCATATTACTACGGTAATTTATCACTTGTGAATAAGTACTGTTGAAGATAACAAAAGTTGGCTTTGCTTTACAAACGTAGTGTCAGGAAAGATTTATTGGCCTTCGAGACCAACAGGAAAACTGTTCTTGGCCCGAGGGAAGAAAAAACTGGGACTACCCTTATCTAGACAATGCAAATGTCAGGGCTTTTTCGGGTAGCGTCATGAAATCTTAACGGGCCACGTTGGCTTTGAAATGGGTGCTACCTCGGCGGTACCATGTGATCCACGCCGTCAAAGTATGTGCGTGCTAGAAAGTAGGTTGTGTATTTTCTTAGACTTAAGTTCCTGGTGCAAGTGGCTAGCAGTATCACGCTCCGGCTGTGTTACCCGCCGGTGAACGGTTCCTCGGCTCTAGTCGGACTTGAGGTGCTATTAAGCCGTGTATCGACTGCGCAAGGCTGCCGCGCGCAGCTGTTCATGCGCGGCAAACTCGTTCGTTTATTGTTTAAAACCGTGTTCGTGGTTACCAGCATCGAGTGCGGCAGCCGTGTTCGGCTGTTGATCGACGCTATTCCTCAGTTCTCGCAAGATCACCATGAATACAGCATGTGCAGCGGCTGCCTTTATGTTGATGTTCAACATTATCGAAGAAAATAAGAAACCGAAACGAAAAGTGCGTTGGTGGATGAAGGAATTGTATCGTCAGCGAATGCAATATGGAAATAGACTTATGCGAGATATGACATTTGAATTGTCATCTTCTTTTTTAAATCCTGAACTGGCATTTTTATTTCGTCACCTATGTCCTTCCATGCGTCCTCGCGTATAATTTTGTTATGGTAATTAGCACTTTTTGAAGTCCACAATACCTCTTTAGATTTATAAATCTGTGTGAGAGCTAGACACTTTTCATTCTCCATTTTGCTAAGACGGAACGCCACAAGACCGTCTCAACTGAGAGAGCACAGCACACTGAAATCCCCTTTGCCGCGGGACAAAGAACCGCTCAGATTTGGCTCGACGCGCGCCAAGTTCGAGCGCGGCAACATGGTATCGACTTTGCGAGGCAAAGCAACGAATATTGCCTCGCGCGGCAGCCGAGCGCGATCGATACCCGGCTTTAGAGAAACATTCACTGCTCCCCTGTGTGAGAAAGAAATCATATCGCCCAAAAGTTTATACAGTCACATTAGTGATTTATTGATGGTCATTTGTGTTTGCGATAGGATAACAATTATGAAGACATGCATGCAGGCAATAATGCCAAAAAATTACGTTCTTATAAAAAATGGGCAAAGCTCTCCGGATTTCAACAAAATGCAGTATAATTTTTGTAGAAGTTTGTACACAAAATATATTTGTCCAGTTACATATATTCTCAGCAAATACAAATATTTTTATGAAATACTGCAAATAGGTATTTTATTCATAATTCAGTCGCATTTGTTATCGGAACTGATGACTTCCGTTTTCTTTCATTACGAGCTGAATTCGTGAGTGAGAGAACTGATACCAGCAACAAAAATCAGTGTCATAAACTGTAAAACTGTGATTACGTCAAAAAATCTCTCGTTAGGAGTAAAGGCTACACATTGTTGCATTAGACCAGGGGTTCTTCTTAAGGTGCTGTCTCCGAACGGAGGTTACCTATCATAAAACCAGGGGTACTCAACCTTTTTCGCTAATTTAACACATTAAATGTACCACTAACCAAATGCGTTCAGGAAAATCTGTTATTTATGTTAATATTAACTTTTGATTTCTTTACTTACCTCGCGTACCACCAGTGGCGCGTGTACCGTATGTTGAGAAAGTGCAACTGACGAAATATTATATGAATTTAACCGTTTCTTGCTACTTTAGTTTCTTTGGGAATGTGGTACTTCTTCTTTATTACGCCGTCTCCTTTACAGGAGGTTGGCGACATATTATGAACAGGATCCTTACATCCTTTTCTCGGACTTGGACCTGTTCATATACGTTCTTGGCAGATGATCCAGAAGTGGTTTGCCATTGCCTTCTTCTATGTGTATGGAGTATGGAACAATTGTTGGGATGCCACGGAGAAACCAGGGAAAACTCCGTGTTGCGTAGACCACGGCCTTAAAAATTCGGGCACCGCCGGGAATCGAACCCTGGACCCCAGGATTACAATGTGGTACCACCCGCTGTAAATACAGGAACATTCTGAGAACAGACGAAGGAAATATCCTCCAAACCCACATTTTGTTCTTTAGCAATAACGACTGTGACAAATTCAAAATCATGTACTGATTTCATATTTTTTATCCACAAGACTATTTTCCTCTGTATGTGACCTGCAAGGAAACAAATGTAATGCAATAAATTTCATGCTAACAGTTTCTGACAGATCAACACATAGGAAAACCCACTTTAGTTAAGTTTGTATCACGTCATCAGACGAGAAGAATGTTTTTATTTTCTTCTGGTGGCGGTCACGTCGACTAAAAAGAGGACTGTATCAGGTACGTGATTGCATTACTGGATTTACCTCACTGTGCACTCAGTGTGTTAAGCTAAAATCGGACTCTGGTTACTACCACTAAATAAGTCTGATATAGCACAGAGTGAATATAGAACCGTGTTAACCTTTCTTTTCGTGTTTCAGTTGTTTTTTTACTTATTTTTATTGTTATTGGTCTTTCTTGCGGCACTGGTACTATAATTTTGGTTCACAGATAAGAAACTGATTTTATTCCGTTTCGTAACAGCTCCAGAGAGCCAAAGCCGACTAGCTGGCTGCTGGCCTCACGTTCACATGCCTAAGCAGAGGTGAACGATCATCCAACCAGATATAGGGTGACGTGTGGTCAGCATGACGAACCACCAGACATTGCTAGCTTTCCTGATCGGATTACGCTGCCCATTGTAGCTCCCCAATTTCCTCACGATGCTGGGTTGGCACCGGTCCCATACACCGGTCGAAGCTCATGAGAAAATTTCTCCCCCGAGACTCGAACCAAAGCGCATTCCGTATCACCGGTCCGAAGCATGATGCCTCAGACCGCGCGGACAAGAAACTGGTAGACCAGAGTAATAATACATTCAAGCAAGATTCATAACGATCATCCTCTCGAAGCGACCAACTGAAGAGAGAACGCAAGTTCTTGGAGAAAGGAAGACTAAAGTTATGGCAAAAAGTGGAAGGCCACCAACAGGCATGCCCAGTGAGCAGTAGTATCTGTATATTTGTTAGCCTATTATAAAGTGACGCACATTGGTTTCAGGTGTTGGCTGTACTGACACTGTACTGGTGCGGTGCATCAGGACAATATGGCTACAGCTACAGCTCTTTTACTGGACCTGTATCCGGGGAGATACGCGAAGTCCCAGTTGCAAACCATTACAACGGCCATCCCCACGCAGCATCGACGCACCACCATCCTTCCTACAACGCAAAAGTCGATTACGTGGTAAATAACATATACTTTGTCAGTTTCATCTTTGAAGATGTCTGCCTTGTGGCATGTCGCGCCGTGTAGTGTGGTAGATAATGACCGACATTTTTGAGGAGCTTACTGCCTCCATCATGACGGTGCCAAGCTGATGGAGGCAGGAAGCACCTTTGAAACGCTTTAATATTCAGGGTAGAAGCACTTGAACCCAGAAGATGAGATAACACTTTTCTCTAAAAGTTTCCACAGACACTTGTAGGAGTAATTTATTGCAACACATTTTTAAGAACAATGTTAATGTTGAGAGTAGGAATACTTTTTCACCTGAATGTAAAACACTTTCCATTTTAATAGCACAGTTACAAAAACACGGGGTCCGCAGTGGCAGCGCGGTTTGAGGCGTGGGCCTTGTGCCGTTTGGTTGCTGGGACAGTGGGTTCGAATCCCACTCAAGCCATGGAAATTTGGCAGCGATTTTCTGCGTTGAGCTATCCTGTGTACATGTAGAGGCCTTGCGACGGGACGATCCCTCGTCCAAGGAGTCCTACCGAATGTCTATAGATCAAGCCAACGAAAAGTTGGGACCCGCAGTGCTCAGGCACTTGAAGAACGGGTCGTTCCCAGTATCCCAGTTACAAAAACAAGTCTAGATATAATTACATTTTCATAGGAGTTAATGACATGAACTATTTTTGAAGAGGTGGTGGAAATCGCGGGACAGGGGATCAGACACTTGAATTTACTCCACCTCCTCAATCCAGATTTCTATCAAATGCTCTTTAACATTATCCTCCCACTCAAATCTCGGTCCCCAGGAGGCTTTTCTTTCGTAGTATGGCTGTCTTCTGGGCTGTCATGCCGTGTAGTCTTTTAGAAGATTACCGACGTTTCAGAAATACTTACTGCCTCGGTTATCGTCCCCCATTATCGGGGCGATGATGGAGGCAGTATATACCTCTGAAACGTCTTGCAAAACCTCGTAACAGAAGTGAAAATTCTGTAATGAGACCGGAAGATGACACTAAACGTTTCGAAACAAGTACCTGATTTACAACGAAATAATATGTAATTAAGTACGCCCTTCTGGATTTTGGCTGCTGTGCCGACCAGTTACACGGCACCGAAACCCAGAAAAATATCATCACCCTCACCGCCGCGAAAACATGAAATCTCAAATAACACGCAATTACTTTACGTACATGATACTCACTGCAGTTATTAGCACGACCCTGTCGTAACCTATTTTAAGATATTAAGAGGTTGCTTTGGAGAACTGGGGGGTTAGGCTATGCAGACTTCGCTCAATCCCTAATAGTGGGATAATCACTCGACCAAGACTTCATTTATTGGCTAATCTGCTATTTACGCAAGATTCTTTGGACAATGGAAAGTGTGCGCCCTGAGCGCGTGGTTATGTAAGGTCTGGTGACCACATGGTCCAACCGTGACGCTAGGCAGTGAGAGTGTCTGCCACGCCTCATTTATTTCGCTCCGTTTCCTTTGCATGTCTTTTCACCAAAATTCGTCAAAGTAAATAAACTTTGCGATCTGCTCTTGTGAGACATAACGTCTGACAGACTTGATATGACGCTAATGATGACAAAACAAATATTAAACGCGATCTTTTCACCTCCGCTATAAAGAACCTTTTTGTATTCCGTACTTAGTTGCATGAAGATGAAATGCTTAATTTGTACTCTTTGGGGTGTACCAAATACAGATGATCGAAAAGTCACGCATCCTATATTAAAATATTTATCGATGGTTCAATAAAATTCAATTGCAATCCCTTCTCACGCCAGTCTGTCAGCCGTCTTCAACCAGAAGTGCAAGTCTGTCTTTTCACCAGCGCTACGAGTGTCATCGTCGAACACTGACTGGTATCCCCATCTTAAGTTTCCTGAATGAGTTCTAGGGATATATATCTCCATTCTCCTGTGCCAAAACTAACCTTCAAACAAGAGATAAAATTAAACAAAATATTCGGTTGTGCATTTCAAACTTTTCATCCATTTGCATCAAACATGAGGACAAGAGTAAATCAATTCGTGCATCGCTGAACGCGGTGAATATTTCAACACACAATATAACATTATTTTTTGTTTTATAATTTGAATGTAATTTATTTTTCTTCAAATAAAACATGTGTCAGGAATAGATCGCGTGATTTTTCGATCACTCCGTATCACTGTAACAATTAATCCGGGATGAGCAAATGTGGGGCGCGTATTATACATGAAACGGAGAGAAAGCAACCAGCTGTATGGAGCAAGAGACTGTCTTAAGAAACTGATAATCTCCTAATCCAATATCTTCCCAAGAAATGTCCTGCCTTTTTAGAACCGGAGGATTCACATCCAAACCGATTTTTAAAAATAACTTTAAAGTATAAAAACCTCATGGAAAACCCAAACCAGTGATTCTCAAAAATTTATGCTACCGTGGACACATCCCCAAAATCATCGCATACATTTTGAATATACAGAATAAAGACTTTTCCTGTCAAACACGAATTTTGCTATGGTACAATATTTTAAGCAGTGGTAGGATTTACTTCCCATTAGTTACACATAAATTATTATAGAATAAGAACAGAAGTGTTTGCAGACTCCCACTTATCTTTGGGTCGACGATATTGCAGTGGCCGGATTGAAGATACAGACTTAAATTCGTACGTAAAATGAACACGTTCACAACAGAAATACAGGTCAATAAATAAGGAGAATTGACACGGAAACTTTGCTATTTTTATAAGAAGTGGCATGCATTAACACGCTGAGACCTATTTTAAAAAAAATAATTAGGCGACTTGGGGTATGTACGTGGTAGGCAGGATGAAAATTCAGCTAACGTATTTAAGTGAAATGTGAGACAAAGCCTGTATGTAACTTACTCGCCAAAAAAAAATGCATATTGCTACAGCTACTGTTACTCATAGCAATATTAACAGATGTACTTAAAATTGCAAACAATAAAAGTATTGGAACTCAACCAGAATTCAAACACATGACCATCTGAAGATGAGTCCAGAACGCTAGCTTATGAACTAAATTACACAACATTATTAGCATTAGCTTTATATGACATTAACAAAAGGATATTTGTAAAGTTTCAAATAAACTTTCCTTAATTACGATAAAGTTTATTAATAATTTTTCTCAAAATTGAATAATGAATAATTTCGAAGTTCCTATTATGCAGTTATGTTCATTATCCTCTATCTTGATCTCTCCTACATTTAAATGTTCGTCTTAGCATTTATCTTAAATCTACATTTAAAGACATATACAATTTCACACGCAGAAGAGCACGTAAAATTACAGACAGGAGATAAGAAGACGAAAGATAATGAACTGAATGTCAGTAAACATTCTCTGCTCTTAATTTTCTTTTTAACATCATTCTGATTGGTTAATGTCATTCTATAACATGCAGATTGATGCCTTCTAGGTTGTAACGCATTCTAGCAGAAATTAACTTCCATAGAGGTGTACTAAATAGGATATTAAATTCTTATCGTCGTATAAACTTCAAACCCTACTCCATAATAGCCTAATTATAACTGCCCACAGTTTCGAAGGATTTACTTGAAATTCTTCCTTAATCTCATTCAGATGAGTCATAAACATGGAATGTTTACACTACTTTCGATGCTCACTGCATTAATGTCCGCTCGATTTAACGCCTGCAATATGTAAAAAAAAAAAATTTAATAATAATTTGAAGTCTTCTGTTCAATTTTAACTCATCTTCTTTTGTTTGTGACAATCGTATACTGGCATGATCCAAACAAAACTTTTCTTTTCCTATAGATTTATATCATTGTCATACTGTTGTTTTACCCACTTCCGTGCTCCCTATAGGAAATCACTGGCCGTTATTGAAATCAGATTGCTGTCGCCGATACCACAACAATACAACGTTTCAATTTAACTGAATAATTAATTTTTATGCCATGCTTGAGTTTCAGGGTCCGGAATGGTCTGCTGTGTCTCTTTAACTACGAAGTGGGAGTGGTTTATGCGTTACTCAATACCCTACACAGCAACTACCCTGCGGGCTGGACGATCAGGATTCGATTCCTAGCAAGGGCAAGGCGTCCAGACCGGCTTTTAGGTCCATCCGTCATTTCATAAAAAGGGTACTTTTGGGTCTTTCCCCGGACGTAAAGCAGCAGCGGATTGAATCTAACGAATAACCTCCATCTACTGCCCGGTATATGAATTTGTGGATCTATAACTCCACTTCCCAACATATCTTCATGATGTCCTTAATTAAGAAGAGAGACAGCTTAACTTTACCGAACGTACTAAAGTTTAATAAAAGAAATCTACCGAAATTTTGTATTGGCTTGAGGTATAAAGCTAATACTTACTAGACAGTATAGTGACTGGCTACGGACTGGAGAACCGGGGTTCGATCCCCGACTTCGTTGAGACCAGCTCTGGGGCCCACCCAGCCTCCTCTACAATGGGTACCAGGGTCCTTTCCCGGGGGGTAGAACACTGCCGGGGCGTGCTGCTGATCACTCATCCCATTTTAGTGCCGAGGTAGAGAATTAGTCGGAGCTATAAGTGCTCTCTCCCCAAGCGCCTACACGGCGTATAGTGAAACAGCTTCACGTTTATAATTTTACTTTCTTGGGTAGTATACAAATTCCTTTCCGTTTATTGGACCCGAAGACCGCTAAATACAGCCTATTGATGTTAAATAACTACAATAATTAATACCAATCTGTTTAATGATATTCGAAAGAATCGGGTATGCTGTATTAGCCATATCACATACTGTTCATCGACCATCAACAATTCTGGTACATAATTTTGCATTTGCTTTCTCTCTTCTGAAATGTCCTATGGCTTCTTGCGCAGGCTAAACCAGACTACACCTTCTCTTATGGCGTTGAGGATCCGCTAACCGGCAACTCTCAGAACCACAAGGAAACTCGTGACGGAGACGTAGTAAAGGGCCAATACACGGTCCTGGACCCTGACGGCACCACTCGCACAGTCACCTACACTGCTGACCCACAAAACGGGTTCCAAGCCACAGTGCACCTTTCAGCAGCACCTTCCAACAACGCTCATCATCAGACGCCCGCACCGCGCGGCCACTACAGCGACTATTATAAACAGTAAGGAAGGACGGACAATAGTAGGCTATATCCCCAATGTCTAAAAATAGGTATAAAGTTTGGTCGTGGGGGGCGGCGCTTGGCTGACATTTGAAATCAAGTTTCAGAAGAATTATATGTTCCTAAAATGGCGTGTTTGCATAGGTGGACGTCGATATTAGTGTTCTTCACTAATATGTACTTCGTCACAATGTGTATGATTTACTATCTACATTCAGTTACGAAGGATATTTATACGTGGTCCAAGCTTTGTTTAGCTAATGCTTTCTAGGTGCCACAAATCAAACCCACACCTTGAAGAACAGGGAGAGAATTCACTATTTATAAGAACAAATATGAGAGAAGTTTCCTCCGCGGCAATTAATTCGTCCCTATATTTCTGAGGACGAGCATGAGAAAAATATATCAATGGTATGAATTCAACATTTTACATGGACGAATATGAGGCAATTTACCCACCGCAGAAGTGGATTAAGTTTTGCATATCTAAGGACGAATATGAGATAACTTATTTCTGCTGAGGGGTATTCAGAATTGAATTTGTAAGGACGAGCACATGACAGCTTCCATTAGACAGTCTTGTCGATTGTAAATTTTAAAGCGTTAAATGAATATCTGCTGTTTCTTTTATGATAATGGTAATGGTTGTACATTATCTACAATGAAGTGGTTTATTAATAATATAATGATAGAGGTCTCGGTTCGGTAAGATGAAACATTCAATGTCACAAGACCATAGACCATATTTCAGGACATGAATTAACATCTTTCATATCCTTAGAAACAGATAATATTCTGTGACGTTGAACTGAACCATTTTCTCGAAAGTATCTTCCACTAATACCAGAAAAGAGAAACAACATTTTATTTTAACACTCTTGTAAAGTGACACGATGGAGGAAAATTTTAATTAAATTAAGTCTCCTAAGGCATATCAGCCAAATAAAATTGGAGATGTAACTCGACGTTTCGGAGAATGTCTCTGTATGTATCATGAGGGGTGATGCAATAAGTTCCAAGTCCCGTTATGACTGGCGGTAAATTTTTGGTTTCAAACCGCATTTTGGGATCAGGACCAGATTTTATGTAATGAGTTGTTCCACTGTGTTCTTATCCACACCCGTGGCTTGCTTTCACAGCTCTGTATCCTTATCCGCAAGCGCGCCAATAAGAACAGAGTCAGAATCAGACGTTGTTTCACAACTTCATTAACACACGGCTGATCGCCCGAGACTTCATCGCATTCAATCACCGTGACAACTTCAATCTTAGGAAATTTAATTCACATTTGGCAACAAAATTATTTGCTAATCTCAGTGTGAAAACTGCCACATAAACAAGAGACAGTGTAGAACATTTATAATCCTCTTAATAAATTTTAAGCCTGTGCTGCGTCTTAAATTGGAACAAATTCGCCAGAATTAACTTCCTTTTTCCTGTTTTATAGAAAGAAAACTGAGAAACACAACTTAATCTTTGATTAGATCTTTTTGGGCTAATTTCAAATCACATTGGAAGGTTATACAAAGTCGGTTCTGTAGCTGCTTATGTCCAGTCGTTTGTACAGAAGAAGAGTTTCTAGTGCAATTAATTAATGATCGCAAATATGGCTTTCCGGAAAATTCGATAATTGTAGCCGTAAGAATTCACGTAATTAACGGCAATGCATTCCTTGAGGAATAACGTGAGAATGATCCAGCATATTTTTAAAACGAATCAATAGTAACATCAAAATTTTCAAGAATCTTAACACCCGGCGCTTTAATTAAAGTAATAAAATTATACCGTGTTTCTTTAGTTTCGGTACAGTTAGTTGACACACTGAATTTCAAGATTATCAAAATTGCCTTTCTGGATCAAACTTAATTGCGGAGTTTAAGAAGTGGTTAAAATGAAAGTAGTAGTAATTCCGTACTTGGCTGATCTCGGAGTGAAGGGAATTTGGTACAGTGTGATTCAAAAGTCCTTGTTCACACACACACTACGTGGCGCACATCACTTGTGTGTGTAATGTGACCGTATAACTTTGACAAATATTTTGCTTCATCCAACTTGTGACGTGTAAGAAAGTTCACTACAAAAAAATATGTTTGTGTTCTTAAAGGTTAACAGAAACTTTTGAATCACCCTGAACAGTAATATGGCGTTTGCTTATAATGTTAATGGGATAATAGTCACTATTTATTTACTGCGATTTCATGGGTTGTGAAGACATATAATAATGTGGGTTGTTATGAACGTTTCGGAAAAACGCATTGCATCCATCTTCAAGGAACCTTGAAGATTGTGAAAAAAAATCTTCCAAAACAGTTACTACCTAAAAGACTACGATGTCACAACTAAGAAGACCATAATCGACATATCCATCGCTGTGAGGACCCGTTCATCTGCGTCCTAATGACACACCAGTCTTTCAGCGGGAATGTATCGGTCTGACTAGCAGTGTGCCACAGTACAAGATCTCTGAAATTGAATGTAACTTATGCGAAAGAACTATTCTACTATACCATACAACATCGGCACAATAACATTATTATTACTGAGTTATTGTTATTAAAATGCAGTAGCATTGTGAGGTTACTGGTAGAATTTAACAAGACCTCTCTGAGACCACAATTTATCCCTGCATTCGTTCTTGTTGACCCTGAAATGGACCTACGACTGATGTAAAATTGTGGAAATCCTGAAATGTATGCACTCATGTAAGTTATAAGGTATCTATGTAACATAATTTATTATAATATATTTTAAAAAATAAAATTTATTGTGGAGTGAAAATATTTTGTTCTCTTTAACCCTCTGAAGTCGAAGATCGTTTTAGTCAGAGTTTCACAAATTTTTTACATTTTCGTAAACCTCGGCCTTATCAGTGTGTCCAAAGTCTCCATTATATCAAGATCAGTCAGTTCGCAGTCGGTCAAAGCACGTCGTTATTAAACTTCAAATACGAACTAAAAAAAATATGACGTAAGTTAAAAATACACAAAAAATTACTAGCTTTTTCAGTGTTAACTAATTTTTTTCATATGCCTTCATGTGAGAGCAGACAGAACTCTGGAATAATTTATAACAATTTATGTTTTGCCGCGTACCCCTTCAAATCCTTTCGAGTACTTCTGGTGGTAGGCGTACCACACTTTCGGAAACACTGGTCTGAATAATATTTAAGAATTTTATTTGTACCGCAAAACAAAACAAAACATTTCGACACAAGAAAGATAATTTGGTAATCGCTGTTTACGGTGAGAAAAATACAACGACGCGATAATTCAAAGTTCACAGTTAGGGTCTACTGGTTGTTAAAGCGGGTGATAGATATTGTCCCCACTAATCTGTAAACAGTAAATGTGTATTTCGAAAGACCAAGTTATTATAATTGTAACTCATGTCTAATATTCAATATACGATTTGTTTAATGACTCTTTCAATAACACATCATTTACATCAAATGTTAGGGCGATCAGAAAACAATGAAATGGAAGTAATGTGGAAGGCATCAGTTGTGGTCTATCCCGGAATTTGCCTAGCGGGACTAAGGAAAGCTAATCAAAATTTCAGACAGGTTAGTCAGTGTCCGGGCCAAAATGTTAATTCACGTCCTACCAAATACAAATTTGGAGTGCTAACCACTCTGTCCAAATGGATTACCATGATTCTGGACATTTTCCAGAGAGACCATTAGTCTTTAAAAAGTACACAACAGAAGTGAATAATTGTTTCTACTCCGGAATTAGGTGGGGCCTCAAGAAACAAACTTTGTTTTTAAAATATTGCTACATGTGGGTCAGATACGTAGAATGAACATCGCCACAGACAAAGCCTATGATATTTTTCAGTCTGTTTTCTTTTAGATTTGGGGCTTTCACAGCGACTAAATTTAACAAAATCTGTGATCATCTGTCCCTGATGACGGAAGAAGAAACAGTCTCCGAACCACTAAAAACTTGTGTGATCTGAAGCTTTCACGGCCACAAAGTATAGTAAATTCTCCTCGGATTAAAGTCGTGTAAGGTAGCTTAATGAAGAAAACATCAACGCTTCGAGTACCATCTTCGTCCTCATGGTAAACTTGTTCTCAAAACTTTGCAGATAAATGGGCCCAGGATAACCGGTTCTCGACTGCATTACTACAATTTGTCAATACATTCCAGTCCTGGTTACAATCTGACAGCAATACTGCACAGTTCACATAGAAACCTACACGCGTATCTTGGCGTAATTTGTTACATATTCATCAGAGCGACAAAGTTTCGAACGAAAGTTGCAGAGAAACATAAAGTAAAAAAGTAAAGCTGTCCCGCTATACGCCATGTAGACGCTTGGGCGGTATAAGTCTTACTCATTCTTAATCTCGTCACTAGATGGGGGTGAGTGATCAGCGTCACGCCCAGGCCGCGCTTTACCCCCAGAAAAAGGCGACATTACCCATTGGAGAGGAGACTGGGTGAGCCCCAGAGCCAGTCTGGACGCAGAGGCTAGAGGAAAAAATCCTCTACTTCTGTCAGGGATCGAACCCCGTTCGTCCTGTCCTTAGTCTGTCTGAGATACCCGGAACATAGAACACACGTTTTCCACCCTAACACCTGCTCCATCTGTATTAAACAAGACGAATTGTACGCTACTTCGTCCCCTAAATCGAGAATCACTGAACAGAATTTAATAAAATGTTATATTGGAAGTCCTTGCCTGTCCCACACTATTTGTATGAGATTATCGGAAGTTATCATTCACGTTTCGTTTGTGTTCCATGTAAAACAGTGCTTTTATTCGACAAAAGAGACACAAAAGTAAATCGATGTGACATTTTTAGTATAGACTTTCAAACACTAAATTTAAAATGAATCCGTTCAGTATGTAAGATTTGAGGTTTTCACAGCGGTGAGTATGAAGATTTCTGTCTTCTGGGTTGTTGCGCCGTGTAGTCTGGTCGATGTTTACTTTGGTAAACATCGACCAGACTATACAGCGCAACGACCGTTCAGTAGTTTCAGGGCTTGAAACATACTGGAAAATACAGCTTCCCAATTATGCGGACATTTTTATAAACTCGGCGAAAGAAACAACAAAAACTTATTACTAATAATGTCTTAAAAATTTCTAAATGATTGGACGTTTTCGTCGGCTGCTTCCAGACCACATCTCTTACCCAGAGTGGGTGTAGCTGCACACTAGCGGGACGACTGAGCAAGACCGCTACATTTCTTGTCGGAGATCTTCAAGTGTTGCTGACTTTGTCAGAACACAGCGTCCTTGAAACATCACCGCAAATAAAACGTCAGCGGGATTGAATCTAGCGATCGC